TCCAGTTCCTCAACTCTGCCTTTGATGTTCAGGGCTCCCAGATTGCCATATATAATCGAATCACTTGTTTTTTCAGGTCTTTGTTGTAAGAGGGTCCACCGGAAGCATCTGACTACTCTGCCATTTTGGTCCCTTCCCTCATAGCTATCAAAGATTGTTTTTTTCTGTGTGTATACCTTTTCTTGGACTTTTATAATAGTGGTCTATAATATTTGTCCTTTTGTGATTGACTTCTTTCACTTAGCATAATGCCTTTCAGATACATCCATGTTGTGAGATGTTTTGCTGATTCATCATTGTTCTTTATCGTTGCATAGTATTTCATTGTGTTTATGTATCATCATTTGTTTATCATTCATCTGTTGATGGACACTTAGCTTTTTTCTATATTTTTGCTCTTGTGAGTAATGCTGCAGTGAACATGGGTGTACATATATCTATTTGTGTGGCGGCTCTTATTTCTCCAGGATATATTCCCAGGAGTGGGATTGATGGATCGTATAATAATTCTATTTCTGGTTTTTTAAAGAATGTGTGATATCATTTTCCGTAGTGATTGTACCATTTTATGTTCCCAACAGTAGTGCATAAGAGTTCCAATTTCTCTGCAACCTCTTCAACATTTGTTATTTTCTGTTCTTTTTTTTTTTTTCTTTTTAATGGGAGAAGGGGTTAAGATTTTCTTTGGGGAAGCAGGGGATATATACTCCCCTTTTTTTCTTTCTTTTTTTTTTTTTTCCTTTCAATTTTCAATACATACTAAAAGGTACAAGATCTCCAAAGGGATATTTTTTTGAGAGGAAGAAGACCTATTTATGTTAAACATTTGTCCAAATGAGAACTAGAGGAGGCTGAGTTAATGCTGCCTTCAGAAATATTAGACACCTTGTCAGCTATAAATTATTTTTGTCTCTTTTTACCACTTTGTTTTTAAATAAAATTATCTAGTATAGAATTCCATGAAAGGAAATATTAATGTTTTATAAGTAGTGCTATCAATCCTTCTTGTCAGTTAGTTAAATATCATAGTACTACTTATTCCTGTAAACTTTTTTTTGTCTTGATCCTCCTCCTTGTAGGTTATCTAGGTAACTAGGACCGGGTTGTTTGCACCACCATATATGCCATGCACACAGTGGGTGCTTAATAATGATGCTCAGTGAACATGTTGTATAGATTGCTTAAGACTGCTGGAAAGAAACATGAAGTTGGTATATATAAAAAGTAGTTTTGTAGCCTCAGTTCACTTTAAGATTACTTAAAATCCCACTCACTTTATTTATTTTTTGTTTATAGAAGTGCTTCCATCATTTCTTCAGAAAGTTGAAGTTGTCTCTGAAGCGTCCAGAGAAACTTGTGTAGCTTTGAGTGATTGCCTTAATCTCTTCACTAAACAAGAAGGGGTAGGTAGTTTGAATTGAATTTTTTTTTTTTAATAATCCTATAGGTGTCATAAACATGATCATCCAATAAGTCACTGCTTTGAAATTGTCCAAAAGTAGGAGAATTATGGTATTAACAAGGGAAATCTTTGTTATTCACCAAAATTTAGAACTAATTTACTTTTGATTAGGCAAGATGATTCTGCAGTAGCTTCTCTTTGTATCATTTGAATTTACTTAAAAGGTAGTGATATTTAACAGGTATATATAAAAGCTGATCTTCTCACGGTTGTGACAGTGCAGTAAGAAGGAGGTGAAAGTATTCTAGAGATAGAAAATCTTTATATGAAAAAAATAATAGTTTTAGAAAAGAGTGTACTATCCTACTTATGTAAACTGAGTTCAGTGGACACCTTATTTGTTTTTTGTGTTCCTTTTCCCTTACACTCTCCCTTTCAAATATTTGCCATTTGCTTTTCAAAATATGAGTAAGAATGTTATACTTTTCCATTAGTAATTCTTCTTCTTAGGGCTAAAAAGTTGTGAAGATGTGTTTTGGTTGCCTAAACTAAGATTTGTCCTGTTTTTTTTTTTTCCTCATGATTTCAGTGCAAGACAAGTGTCAAAGGCTTTCTTTTTCCGTTTTGTTCATTTCTGCATATACGTTTAAACTTCAACTTATTTTTTAGATTATTGTTGTCATTAGTTGCCGTTGAGTCAATTCCGACTCCTGTTGACCCCATATGTGCAGAGTAGAACCACTCCATAGAGTTTTCAAGCTGTGACCTTTGGGAAGCAGATCTCCAGGCCTGTCTTCCAAGGTGCCTCTGGGAGTGTTCAAACCACCAGTCTTTCAGTTAGTTGCCAAGCACTTAACAGTTTGCACCACTTAGGGACTCCTGTTTTTTAGATTAAATTAAGATACTGAATTTCTTATTCTTATTGCAGTTTATGTGTACATTTTCACTAGAGATTAGGTTTTGGTAAAACGAGATAGATGAAAATATCTTTATATATATTTCACTCATACAAAAGATCTGGAATTATAGTTTTCCCATAATCAGAACAGAAGTCTTGGGAATTAATATAAATATTTTAAAATGCTATGTGTGTTATATTGTACCACAAATTCCACATACTAGTTTATTTGGAGAATGTGAAAAAATATGTAAATAATAATCTGCATTCATTTAAAATAAAATTATAGAAATTCTGTGACAGAATTCTGTTAACCGTCAAAGGGAAACTATTGCTGATTCTAATACTGTTAAAAAATGTCCCTTCTCAGCATTTCTGTTTTTGATGATTTGCAAATTTATCCTTCTAGTTTATTTAAATGAGGAATGATTTAGTGTTTTAGATAAATCTGACTGGGATGGTAATGTTGCAGAGTATCTTTGAAATGAGAAAATTATATTTCGTTGGATTCCTGTGGTGTTTTTAGTATATTGTAAAACCAAGTTTAATTTACATCTCTTATATGGCATCTGATGGATATATTGATACTTTTTTAGTTCTAGAGATATAAAGTTTTAAGGCTGAACACTAGATTAGAAGTAATGTTTTAATAAGTTAGTGTGTGTTTAATTTCTGGAGAAGCCAACTATGCTAGTTTTTAAACTCCTTGTTTAAAAAATAGCCTAGGTGAAACACCTCTCTTTGTGAAAATCTAGATGTGCAAGTGTATTAGCCTAAAGTTAATTGTTGTCTAATGAAAATGTATTTGACTGTTTGTGGAATGAAGGATTGTGTTGTTTTCATCCTTGCTACTTATTGAAGTAACAGTGGGCTAATTAACTTCTCTAAACCTTGATGTCTTGTTTTGAATCCCAGTCTTATCTCTGACCAGCTGTGGGACCTTGGGCAAGTTTCTGTAAATAGAAATATATAAATATATAAACATCTCAGGTGTGGGGATCAAATGTATGTAGACGAATAATATGAATATTAGCATACTGCCTGGACATAGGATTTATCTAGTACATGGTATTTATTATTTCATACTTTCATAGTATCTTTAAGATTTCTTCTCAGTAATTCTATGAAATATCAGCTCTGTGAGGCCCTTCATAGAATCCATGGATTTCCTTTTGAGAAATATGATTATATACAATAAGAAGGCCTCAGAAGTATTTGGAAGGTAAGTGGCATCATTGAGGTTAGTCTTTCAAATGTCCAAGAATTACAACATAGGAATTATATGGCTTAATTGAGGTCAGTGGAATAATTATGTACTGTAACACCTTATGTATCTAGCATCATTAAATTATGTTTCTATTATCTGCAAATTTTACTTGTGGAACATTCATGGTCACACAGACCTGGGCCTAATTCCTAGCTCTGCTTTTTAATCTCTCTTTCCTTCAGTTTATAATATAATCTCCTTTTTAAAATGATGACCAAGCAAAAAGGATTGTTTTGAAAAGGAAATGAAATCCTATTGATAAAATACCTTGTATAGTACCTGGCACATAATAAGGATCCAATAGATGTAAGTCACCCCAGCCACTCCAGCAGCAAAACAGGTTTTATTCTCATCTCTTTTCATGGAAGTTATTGTAAGATGTTACATATTTCTTCAAGTAAAATCTTTAAACTTAATTTTTATCTTTTCTAGGTACCTCAGGATTGTGTTTTTGTGTATTAATAATTACACTGTGCCTTAATCCAGAGATGCCTGCAGAGGCTGTTTATAGGACTACGTCATTCTTTACTCAATGGCCCTATCCTGCTAATGCTTTTTGCATTCTTGTTTGCTCTTCGTGGCTTTTTAAAAACTACATCCTTCATTTTTAGATCAATTGAGTGCTTATTTTTGGCAGTGGAATACCGATTGATTTACTCTTTCTAATCTGCTGTTTATTAAAAAGAAAGCCAGATAACCAAACTTGGTAAAATTGTGTCCACAGTGAGAGTAAGTTGGCTCTGAATGAAAATTTTAGGGGATTTACAATGAGTAAGGGCCTTAGTGCCTGGATTTTGTGCCTCTTGTTTCTGTGGTACATGGGTGTTTGGGCATATTTGGGGATGCTCTGATACGACCTGGATAATTGAGGTTTCCATATGACCTCTAGATAAATGAGGTTTTATCATAGGCAGATTTTATTTGTAAGTAAAACTATTTACATTAGTCAAAAATTATAATACATAAAATAAGCTGTAAAGTTTGTGACTGATCTAAATGGAAACTTATAAGATGTTTTTAGGGTGGAGTACTCAGGAACATAATATAGCAGAATATTACTGCTTTTGTTTTGTTTTTGTTTTTAACATTGAGGGTCCTATTCAAAAGCCTAGAAACTCATTTCATGAATTATTTTTATTTCCACAGTTTTCCTCACCAAAGGGTGGTATCAAGTGGTTGAAGTGTCACACAGAAGCCATTGTTGATACCCCTCTTGTTCTGTGTATCATCTTGTTCTATGTTTCAGCGAGCTCCCCTAGATATTAGTCCAACCTGTTTTTCCAAGTTAGGAACTTGCCTATTTAAAGTCACGGAAGATTGGCCAGTGAAAATCTTACGGATAGCAGCAGATCATTGTCTGATATAGTGATGGAAGACAAGCCCCTCAGGTCAGAAGGCACTCAAAATATTATTGGGGAAGAGCTGCCTCCTCAAAGAAGAGTTGACCTTAATGACATGGATGGAGTAAAGCTTTGGGGACCATCATTTGCCAATGTGGCATGACTTAAAATGAGAAGAAATAGCTGCAAACATCCATTAGTAATCAGAACATGGAATGGGTGAAGTATGAATCAAGGAAAATTGGAAGTCATCAAAAATGAAATGGAATGCATAAAGATTGGTATCTTAGGCATTAGGTGAGCTGAAATGGATTGGTATTGGCCATTTTGAATCAGACAATCATATTATCTACTATCCTGAGAATGACCAGTTGAAGAGGAACAGTGTTGTATTCATCGACAAAAAGAACATTTCAAGATCTATCCTGAAGTACAACGTTGCCAGGGATAGGATAATATCCTTATGCCTACAGGGAAGACCAGTTGTTATGACTATTATTCAAATTTACGCACCAACCACTAATGCCAAAGATGAAGAAATTGAAGATTTTTACCAACATCTGCAGTGTGGAATGGATGAAACATGCAATCAGGATGCATTGATAATTACTGGAGATTGGAATGTGAAAGTTGAAAATGAAGAAGGATCAGTAGTTGGAAAATACGGCCTTGGTGATAGAAATGATGCTGGAGATTGTGTGATAGAATTTTTTTAGACCAACGACCTATTCATTGGAAATACCTTTTCTCACAACATAAACAGCGACTATACACATGGACCTCACCAGAGGGAATACACAGAAATCAAATCGACTACATCTGTGGTAAGAGATAATGGAGAAGTTCATCAACATCAGTCAGAATAAGGCCATGGGCCAATGGTGGAACAGACCAACAATTGCTCATGTGCAGGTTCAAGTTGAAGCTGAAAAAAATTAAAGCAAGTCCACGAGAGTATATCCCACCTGAATTTGGAGACCATCTCAAGAATAGATTTGACACCTTGAACACTAATGACCAATGACCAGATAGATGAGTTGTGGGAGGATGACATCAAGGAAATTATGCATGAAGAAAGCAAAAGGTCATTAAAAAGAAACGAGAGAAAGAAAAGGCCAAAATGGATGTCAGAAGAGACTCTGAAACTTGCTTTTGAATGTAGAGTAGCTAAAGCAAAAGGAAGAAATGATGAAGTAAAAGAGCTGAACAGAACATTTCAAAGTGTGGCTCTAGAAGACAAAGTAAAGTATTATCATGAATTATGTAAAGACCTAGAGTTAGAAAACCAAACGGGAAGAACACACTCGGCATTTCTCAAGCTGAAGAACTGAAGAAAAAATTCAAGCCTTGTGTTGCAATATTGAAGGATTCTACGGGCAAAAATTGAATGATGCAGGAAACATCAAAAGAAGATGGAAGGAATACAGAGTCTGAACCAGAAAGAAATTGGTTGAAGTTCAGCCATTTCAGGAGGTAGCATATGATCAAGAACCGAT